CCAACAAAACTCATTTGGACTCAGACACCTGACATCCTGGATATCAATGCTGTAGTTTTTTTTTTTTTTTGGCACTTTTTGGGTCACACCCAGCGATGCCCAGGGGTTATTTCTGGCTCATGCACTCAGGAATTGCTCCTGGCAGTGCTCTGGGGACCATATGGGATGCTGGGAATCGAACCTGTGTTGGCCATGTTGGCTGCGTGCGAGGCAAACGCCCTACCCGCTGTGCTATCGCTCCAGCCCCAATGCTGTAGTTTTATTTCTTCTTTATTTTCATTTTGGGGTCACACCTGGTGGTGCTCAGGGATCACTCCTGACAGTGGTCAGGGACCAAACTTGGATCAGCCACACACAAAGCAAGTGCACTACCTACAGTGCTATTGCTATGGCTCACACTTTTCATTTTCTTAGTCTATTGCTCAATTGGGTTATACATTACTAAATAATTCCCCAATTAATGTTGTCTGAGCCAACTGAGAGAAATGCAGGTAAAAGAATACGTAAAAATTATACCTACTTTGTATGCCAATAAATATCATGTCTCATATACCTAATAGAAATCACGGTGTCACGTCCTCCTGTTGTTCATCGATTTGCTCAAGCGGGCCCAGTAACGTCTCCATCAAGAGACTTGTTGTTACTGTGTTTGGCATATCGAATACGTCACAGGTAGCTTGCCAGGCTCTGCCTTGGGGGTGAGATACCCTCGGTAGCTTGCCGGGCTCTCCGAGAGGAGCGGAGGAATCGAGCTCAGGTCGGCCATGCTGGCTGCGTGCAAGGCAAACGCCCTACCCGCTGTGCTATCACTCCAGCCCCAATAGAAATCATACCTACTTATTTAACATTATAAAAAACACAAGTCCACCTGCATACCTGTGAGTTATACCCAAGTATTAAAGTTTTATTTTTTGAGGGAAGAATATACATCCACTATCTCATTCACAAGATCAGTCTAATTTAAAGTTAATAAAATCAATCATAAAAAATAAAACCCAATAATCCTACTTCTTGGTATCTACTTCTAAACATTGAAACAGTTATTCAAGTATATATGTACATCTATGTTCACTGCAGCAGTAAAAAAAATAGCCAGGACTAGAAACAACTCAAGTATTCCAACAACAGATAAATGGATCGAGAAGTTATGGTATAACATATACATTCGATTCCTCCGCCCCTCTCGGAGAGTCTGGCAAGCTACCGAGAGTATCTCGCCCGCAAGGCAGAGCCTGGCAAGCTCCCCGTGATTTATTCGATATGCCAGACACAGTAACAACAAAGTCTCCAATGGAGACGTTACTGGGCCTGCTCGAGCAAATCGATGCTCAACGGGAGGGCCTTTATACATGGAATACTTTGCAGTTATAAATAAGAGAAGATGAAACCATGCCATTTGCTAGGAACTGGAAGGTACCATGTTGAGTGAAGTCAGTGAGGAAGGATAAACAACACACAATCTCACTTATCTGTGGTAGCAACTAGACAAGGGAATAGAAGGTACCAAATGATGGCAAACCCTTGGTGCTGGATTACAGTATAAGAATGCCAGGAAAGAGGGAACTGGAGCAGTGGAATGATGTGGCAAACTGGAGATAACATAAGGGAACTGACTGAAGGTCTTGGATATTGTTAAAGACTTAAAAAAAAAAAGCTTGCTTAGTAGGTGGGAGTAGGCGCTGGAGGCGACCCTGGGAAACTGGTAGAGTGGCACTGACAAGAGGTAGCAAACTGTAAACCAGAAACCATTATTATTGGTCGGTTTTCTGTTTTATTGTTTTTTGGATCACACCCAGGTGTGCTCAGGGATTTTACTACTGGCTCTCAGCTCAGGGTAGCAGGGTTTGGGGGCAGGGGGTTCTGTGTGGGACGTGAAGGGTTGTACCAAGGTCAGTCATGTGCAAAGTGACTCCCTTAACTCTGTGCTATCTCTCCAGCCCTCTGAGACTATTAATGGTACTAAAAAAAAAAATCACAGTGAATAGGTGAAAAATTTTTTTCCAACATTTACTCATTTGTTATATTTCAAACTGATCTTATTAATATTTTGTTTCATTTTTTCCAGGGGCTAACCATACCATACTGAGAAGTACTTGGCAGCCCAGGGTAGACTGCTCAGGAAGTGACACTGGGTTCTGCATGTTATACATTTGCGCTACCATTTGAACTATCTCTCTGGCTCCTCAGAAACCATTTGTATTTAATTTTTATTTACTTATTTTGGTTTTGGGGCCACAACTGGCTATGCTCAGGGGCTACTCCAGTCTCTACTCTAGGAAATTATTCCTGGTGGTGCTTGTGAGGGACCATATGGGACGCAGGGGATCAAACCCAGTCAGATATGCCTTACCTGCTGTAAAACTGCTCCAGCCCACAGAAACCATTTTTAAAAAGATTCTGCCATGGGGCTGGAGAGACAGTGTAGTATAGTGGATAGGGCACAAGCTTAGCACACAGGTGACCTGGGTTCTATTCCTGACACGTGGTCCTCAGAGCACCACCAGGAGTGATCACTGAGTGCAGAGTCGGGAGTAAGCCGAGTAAAGCTGGGTATGGCCAAAAAAACCAAAACAACAGAACATAACAAAACAGAAATAGATTCTATCATGAAACCAAAGGCATGAATTATAAACAGATACTTTGCATGCAGGAGTCTGTGATAGGTCCCCAGCACTACACAGTCCCCTAAGCTCTGCCAGCCTGACCCTAAAACCAAAATAAATAAAACTTGACAATTTAGTCACAAAAGAAAAGGTTTAACAGTTACAGGAAATATATATAAAAATGCCTGCCAAGACTGGTGAGGTCAATTAAGTTATTTGTGAGTGCTTTTTATAATGATGAAAGATAGAAAAAAACCCTTTTATATAAATTAAATTAAAATTTTATATAAATTAAATACACAGTATTTTTTTTTTAATCATTGTTAAAGAAGACAGAGAGATAGTACATGGTATGGTGCTTGCACTGCATGTGGCTGATCTGGATTCGAACCTCAGGGCCTTATAGGGTCCTGAGTACTACCAGAAGTGATCGCTATTAAATATGGGAGACATTAATGTCTAAAAACATGGCTTTAGTTTTAAAGGAAACTTGGGATGGTATAGACACACATGTGGTCTAGGAGGGGTGCACATATAGTCTAAGAGAAAACGTTTTTAGGAATCTTGTAATTTAAGGCAATGTTTCTCTTATGTGTTGTGGTATCCTGGGTCAGTATCTGGGGTTTGATCCTAGTGATGTGTGATACTGAGGATCAAACCTGAGACTCCTTATAGGCAAAGCAGGTGCTCTAGCTGTGTGAGCTGTTATTCGTGGTGCGTTTTTTTTTTTTTTTGAGGGAACACACCCAGCTGTTATAAGGACTTACAACTCCTGGCTCAGTAATCAAGCATAAGTCCAGGCAATGTCTGAAGGATCCCCAAATCAAGTGTTCTTCACCTTTTTCTCACCCCTTGTTTCCATCTATGGACTCCCAGTCCTGTCTTAGTACCAAATTGTGGTTCCTCATTTATTAATTTTTCACCTGGAGGCTCCATAAGGCCCCAGGTGAGAAATGAGTGATCTTCTACATTTCTGATGCTTGCATGCATTATTTTAACTGTTCCTAGAGGTGCTCCAGGATTGTCAGCTCTGTGCTTAGCGATCACTCCTAGAAGGACTCAGGTGGCCAGGAGACAGATCTCAACCCACACCGACTCCAGGTTACTTCTTACTCTTCCTCCTGAAGACTAAATTCAAATGTGACTTGTTCAAATAACAAGATTAAATCAGGACTCTGCTATTTCAAGGGACAGAGGTCTTCACTGAACTTAGAGCAATTGTAATTAAATAAGGAGATTTTTATGAGATGTCGACTATGCCTCCCTTGGTATTCTAGCTCCATGAGGGCAAGATAAACGTTCAGTAATTGTATCCCCACCACTTGGAACACAGCAGTTGTTCAATAAATAACTGTTGGTGAATAAAGGGACATTCTGTCAAAATGCCACATCTACAAGTTTAGAAGGCTGTTTTCAGAATACAGTAAGTGGCTTCTCTAAGGCTAGGATTCTTGAGTTATTCTCAGGCCAATATTCTTCTCACTACACGTAATTCCCAGGTTTCTTTAAATATCATTTCAGAAAATTCAATAAAGGTTGCAATAATATTTTATAGATGTAAGATACACCCTTCCTCCCTCCACCATGGACAATACACTTGTTCTTGCTCTTTTTTGTTTTTTTTTTTAAGTTTCTCTCTCCTTCTCCTGCAGACCACCTTAAGGGAATTTCTACCGTTCAGATTCTCTGCTCCCTCCGTCCACGAAATTCAACATACAATTACCGAATAATCAAGCAGGTGGGTGAGGCGAGGACCTGCAAGCAAGGAACCATCATCAGAAACGTGCAAGCGACGGCGAGATGGAACGCAGAGAAAAGTACGGCCTAGGTAATAATTAACTGTCTTCCAGAAAGCACCAAGCCAAGAACATGAAACGGCTCTGGAAGCAAGTTTGGAGGATGAGGCGTTTGCCAGGTGGAGACAATACTTCGGGCAGAGGGAAGAGCACTTGAACAGAGGGGGTGCGCACGGAGGCGCGGGGAAAAAGTGAGCGGACCGCAGGGCTAAAATCAGAGAACCCCCACACGCCATGCTGAAAAGTTAAACAAATAAATAAAATCAAATGAAAAAAAAAACCCAAAAACTTGGAAACCCGCCGAAGGCTCTCTCTCTGGGCCCGGGCGTGACCATTTCGGAGCCACGGAGCTCGCGCCCTCGGCAAGCAGCATCACCCCGCAAGCGCTCCTGCAGGATCGGCAACTCCCCTCCCCCTCCCGGGGCCCGGAGGGCAGAGAAACGCCATCGAGCCCCCCGCGGAGGCCGCGGAACACACCCCGGGCGGCCGCGGACCTCGAGCTGCCCCCGTCCGGCTCCGGAGGCCTGAGCGAGGCGCGCGCCGCGCCCCCCGGCCGCCCACCCCGGCCCCCCCCCCCACGCCCGCGCCGCCCCGCTCCCACCTCCGCAGGTTCTCGATCTCGGCCGGGATGGTCTGCAGCTGGTTGCCGCCCAGGCTGAGCGTCTGCAGGGCGCGCAGCTCCAGCAGCGCGGCGGGCACCTCCTGGAAGCAGTTGCCGCTGAGGTTGAGCACCTGGAGGCTGCGGCAGAGCGGCGACCGCGCCAGGCCCTTGGGCAGCGCGCCGGGCCCGCCGAGCCGGTTGTTCTTGGCCAGCAGCGTGCGCAGGCCGCTCAGCGCCAGCAGCTCGGGCCCCAGCGACGTCAGCGCGTTGCCGCTCACGTCCAGCAGCTGCAGGTGCGGGAAGCCGCTGCCCAGCGCCCGCGGCAGCGACGCCAGACGGCTGTGCGGCAGCAGCAGCCGCAGCAGCGCCTCCCGCCCGCCGCGCCGCTCCTCGCCCCGCGCCTCCAGCTCCGACTCCAGCGCCTCCGGGGACACGCTGAGGCGCGACAGGTTCAGCTCGGCCTCGCCGGCCGGCGCCGGCGGCGGCGGCCCGACGTCCTCCTCCATCCTGGCCTCCGCAGGCCGCTGGGCCCGAGGCGCGCCGCGGCCGACCGGGCCCGCAGCTGAGCCGCGCCCCGGAAGCGGAAGTGCGCGCGCGGCCGGAAGTGGGCCGGGCGCCAGTCTCGCGCGACGCGGCCGGCCGGGCCCACGTGGCGGGGGCGGGGGGCGCGCGAGCCGCTGCCCTTTGAACCCGGCCGGGGGCGGGCGGCCGCGCGCTCCTTCCGCCGCGCTCTGCGGGCCCCGGCGCCTCCGGGTGGGGGCGAACGACCTGAGGTGGGCGGACGCCCTGGGCGGCCCCCGCGTCACGGGGCCGCCCGTCTGGCTCCGGTGGAGGGAGTGGGGCCCCCTAGGCCGCAGGGTTCCGTGAGGACGCAGCCGTTTGCCCCCGGACTGCAAACCCCAGGAATCCGCAGGGGAGGGCTGGGGGTGAGAGAAGGCGGCCGCGCTCGGAGCCGAACCCTCTCACAGTCCCTCAGGGTCGCCTCGGACGGGGGATTTGGCTTCGGTTTCTCCGTCCCTTAGGCAGGGATGCCCCTCGCCCTGCTTCCCTGTGCAGGCTGAGGACAGTTCGCCCTTTGAGCCGTAAAGGCACATCTCTGTCGCCCCGGGGAGAAGTTCGTTTAGGAGCCGTGACGGCGCTTCTTCAGTCTGAGGTAGCCCCGAGGAGTTGAAGGGCGCCGTGCTGAGGTGAGGGTCCCCCACAGGTTGAAACACTCGGGGCAAACCCTGACTCAGAGCCTTTTAACTGATTCTTTTGATCCATAGAATTGGCAGGTTTCTCCTCCCCTGGCCCTAAACGCAGACTTTTCTGGTTACTTTTTACCATCGTGAAAAGTCAAAACTAAAACTTCTTGCGAAGTTTACACCTTAAAATCTCGAGCGATTGTGCATAATCAAGTGGCTTGCAAGTGGCTTTCTTCTTAAAAAGGAGAGTAACTTTTTTGGTTGGTCGTTTGTGCGAGATTTTATGCTTCTTATCACTACCAAGGCTTAAATTCTCCTTGAGTAATCTTTGGACGGATACACGTTATCACTATACACCAGAAATGGAATGTTAAAAAAGATTAACGGAGCGTCCTGCTCTTGAAAGGAGAGGTCCTTAGTTGCTGAGAATTGCAGCGGTTAGGGAATGCTCCTCCCCTCCAATGAATTAGTTAAGATTATAAATCGCTGACATAGAAAGGGGATGAAAATAACTACATAGCAGGCAGTTTTGAAGAAAAGTTAGGAGTACTTAGAGAAGGCTGGAGAGATAGTAGAGGAGTTAAGGTATTACTTAGAGAAATAAGGTGTTAAGGTAGTACTTAGTGTGGGTGTTAAGAGAGAGAGAGAGAGATAGTACAGGTGTTAAGGCCTTGCATGTAACCACCACCCCCAGTTAGATCTCTGGCACCACCAGAAGTAACACCTTAGTTCCTAAAATAGAGGCCCCCAAATCCAATTAAATAGTGTATTGAGAGTCTCATTTATTATGATAATAAAGCCTCTCTTATCTCAACTACCACTTACCCATCTCTCTTTAATTAGATGCATTTAAATTCAGAAGCATCTCCCAACACTATTGCGGGATTTGAAAAGATTCAGTCAGCCTAAAGAGTTCTGAAAATACTCCTTAAGATGAGGCTATGTCCTTACAGTGATGGGATCCATTCTGTGACTGATGGAAGTATATGCGAGAGAGACACCTGTCCAGGAGAGCATGAATGGGGAAGGAGACAACATAAAGCTTTATCTAAGGAAAGGGATATAGATTTAAAAGGAAATGGGGGGGGGGGGGTATGGTGCTGCCAGCAGGTCAATCTGTACCTGTGAGGAGAGTGCATCAGCAGCCTGATGGCGCCTTCAGACTTTCAGATACCCCAAAATTGTTGCGTGCCTTTGGCCAGACCCCAAAAACTTGAGGCAAAGTTTACCAAGAAAGTAAACGGCCAAAAGTTAGGTATGTGGGAAACATACCCACAAACCACCTCCGGCTCAGCTATATAATTGGAGGCATGGCCTCTCTGGTTCCTGATTGAACTGCTTAATAGCCATGATCCCAGAGACTCAGAAACAAAACTGAAACTCAGTGGCTTTTGGCAGAAATGCGTCTGGTCCCTGCAGTAGGTTAACAATGCTGGGCCACTCCAGGTGGGAATAGGTTTCGTGCCTTGGCCTGCTCCCTCTTGGCGGCTCGGTGGCCGTCATCCTCCAGAGGCCACTGGGCCGTCAGACTTGGGCCTGCAGTAACGAGACATTTTGGGTCTCACGGGACAGTGGGAGGGAGCCGGTCCTGTCCTCCCCACCCCAACGAGACCCCAAGTCATCGCCCACGAATGGCCTCTCTGGCTCCTGATCAAGCTGCTTAACGGCCTTGATCCCAGAGACTCAGAAACAAATCTCGAAACCGAGCGGCTTTTGGCAGAAATGCGTGCAGACCACGCAGTAGGTTACTGTCGACAGGCCACCCCAGGGAGGAAAGGGTGTTATCCCTCCGCCTGCTCCCCCTTGGCGGCTCAGTGGCCGTTATCCTCCAGAGGCCATTGGACAGTCAGGTCTGGGTCCACAGTAACGAAACTTGTTGGGCCTCACAGGATGGGGGTGGAGCCGGGCCTGTCCTCCCCACCCCAATGAGACCCCCAAGTTATCGCCCATGAATGGCCTCTCTGGCTTCTGTTCAAGCTGCTCAATGGCCATTATCCTAGAGACTCAGGAGCAAATCTCGAAACCCAGTGGCTTTTGGCAGAAATCCCTCCAGATTTAAGTGTTAAAATTTCAGAATTTCAAAATCACATGGCCCAATTGCAGCCACGCGACATCATATGTTATTCATAACCAGCAATAGGACACAAATTGCCTACTGTTGCCTTTTCAGCAGATCTGAGTGTTGGGGTAAAATCTCAAATAATAATGGTGGGTCTGGTGTCAAAATATTGAATGTGATCAAAGTAGATAGAGAGTAATGTGGAAATCATCTGCCCCACAGGTAGGGGGAGGGTGTGGGATGGGGGTATACTGGGGTTTTTGGTGGTGGAGAATGGGCGCTGGTGAAGGTATGGGTGTTTCATTGTATGACTGAGACTTAGACCTGAAAGCTTTGTAACTGCTCTCACAGTGATTCAATAAATAAAATTATAAAAAAATGAAAAAAAAAGGAAATGGGAAAGTACATGACAGATTTGTCTGCTGATCAGAACTTCACTATTTTAAAGCATTCTTAACTTCAAATTAACAATATTTCAGGATAAGTCTCTTGATTAGAATATTATTGAAAAGTGATCAATATACCTGTATGTGGCTCTAGTGTCCAATTCACTGAGTGAAATAAAGTTCTTTCATGAATTGGCATAGCTTAGAGCCAATGTATAAATAAGAGTAAAGTACAGTCTTTGGCTTTTTTGTCAGATATAAATTCCACCTCTAAAAATCATATTTCGGGGCTGGAATGATAGTACAGCGGGTAGGGCGTTTGCCTTACACGTGGCCGACCTGGGTTCGATCCCCAGCATCCCATATACTCTCCCAAGGACCACTAGGACCCGCCGTCCCATATAGTCACCCAAGGACCACTAGGAGTAATTCCTGAGTACAGAGCCAGGAATAACCCCTGAGCAACGCTGGGTGTGGCCCAAAAAGAAGAAAAAAAAAAGGAAAATCAGATTTCTCTTACCTCATCCTGGCTTTGTTACTTTATTTAATGTTGATTTCATTGTCTGAACATGAAGAATATTATGTTTCATAAAAGTCATTATAGGGCTTAAATCTAAAATGCTGAGTGTTTAGCATTTTATATAAATACTTTATGAATAGTCACAATTATTATTAGTGGTAATAATAATGTTATAACTGTTACTCTTTCTCATTTGTTAGATCATGTTTCTCAAAGAGACAAAGTAAAGATCAGGGTGATCTTTACAACATGGCACAATTTCCTATATTAGTAATGTTTTTTAACATTGTGGGCTATGTCATGATTGGAGCTTGAACTTTCCTTGCCCTTGAGTCTTAACTCCCAAGATTTATGCTTGTTGTCCTGATTCTTGGTTCTGTTGAGATATCTTGCTTCCTAGTGAGGGCCTCTGCAGCAATGGTGGAGGGAAGTGGATACCTGGGTGGAAGGTGTAGTTGGAATAGTTCAATGTACAAAATCCTACTAATACAGTTTGTAAACCATGGTCCTCTCCCACCACCCCTGCCAAAAAAAATTTTTTTTGAAGTATGAATTTGTTATATGCCTGCCAAAGGGGGCAGGCTAGGCACTGCAGGGCCCCTGGGAACACTGATGGTGGGGTTGGTGTTGCAACATTGTATGCTTGAAGCAATTCTATTATTAACAACTTTGTAAACTAAGTGTCTTAATTAAAAAAAAGGGGAAAAAAGATCTCTTGCTTCCTAAGCTGGACTCCTACTGCCATTCTAGCCACCTCTGATTCCAGATCTCCTTTCTAAAGAACCATGTTGTTGATTTCACCCCATCTCTCTTCCTTCTCTGTCTCCTTGTCTCATCTGTTATCACTTAAAGCTAATACTTAAGTTAGGCATGAATTGATCTGCGCTATTTTGAATCCCTTTGGATTATCCAGTGTGGCCTAGAGTGGCTCAAAGTTTTTGCTGTTTTCCTACCAACTGTAATTTAAATCAATAACATCTGTACTCTCTGTTAAAGGAAACATTGAAGGCAGAGGGTGCTGCAGTCTTTCAATCTAACCTGAGGCAGACTTGGCATCTGTACTGACAGGGACCTAGAATGAGTCTGCATTCTGTTTGTCAATTAAGGCCTACAGTTTGGTTATCATTAGCATGTCTTTGTTTTGGTTTGGTTTGGGCCACACCCAGCTGCACTGGCTTTGTTTCTGGTTCTGCACTCAGCGATCAACTGGGTAAGTATCAGGGACCATCTAAGGTGCTGGGGATTGAAACCAGACCTTGCATGCTTGCATGCAAGGCAAGCACCTTATGAGCTTTGCTATCTCTCTGGTTCCAATCATTAGCATTTATTTTTTCTGCCTCAGTTTATCCTGTCATAGAATTGATGGATTAAGATGCTTCTCTGAGTATCTTTCTCCAATTCAGTCTGCTCTGGTGATATGCAGACATTTTTCATTTTAATGAGTGTTCAAATAAGACAAGATGTTTTTAAGATCTTAGTGTTTTTGA